TTCCTCACGTTGATTTTGTGGGAATGCATGACGGATCGCTGAAAGGAAACAGCCAATGTCCTACTTTCCATTAGTACATTGAAATTAGAGCTGTTTTTTATTGAGTTCTGAGAAGATCTTAAGGTGATAGTTTTGTTGAGTTTTTTTTTTAGGTAGGGTTTTGTGGACATGTTATGGACAAAGAATATTTTACTCTGACCAAATTGATGAACTAACAGAACAAAGTGGATTAATGTCTTAAAACAGCTCCAATCTTAAAAACTGTAAAATGGTTTATGTTATAACAGTTTAGTCCAGTCCATTGTTACAACACACAAGTCTTTTTGCATAAATATTGTGATTTTATACCAGATATTTTGTTTAAAGAGCTATATAGGGCTGCCACTACTTATTTTTATTTATTTCAATTAATTAATTATTTAATTAATTAATTATTCTATAAAACTATCCTCCAAAAATCACAATATGCAATTTTGTTTGAGCTAAATAATAGTAGTAGTTCCAAAGTTAATCCAGGTATAAATCCAACAACGTACAGTCAGGTCATCTGGATGGTTTCTTTTGTTGCTGAGACGTTTCGTCCTTCATTCGAAGGACTTCGTCAGTTTGGTTTTGTGGCCCTCAGACTGAATAAGTCCTTCAGATGAAGGACAAAACATCTCAGCAACAAAATAAACCGTACAGATGACCTGACTGAACATTGCTGAATAGTAGTAAATTTTATCTGTTACAGTCAAATGTGGTTCTACAAAAAATGTAAACCATTATTTGCAAATTAAAGTACAAAATATATAGATTTAGCATGCTAGTTTCAACATGACAAATAAGTAAAATTGTTATTTACGTGTTGAAGACACACACACACACACACACACACACACAAACTCCTGACTATTCAGCATGTTGTTGTAAGAACTGCACCAAACTGGTGAGAAGTCAAATATTAGGGTACAGAGGAGGTGTCAGCTTCCTCTCACCACACTTACTCACTAACTGTCCAAAAACGCCTCTGAACTGTCTTGGAAGATGAATTTGATATTCTAATCTTCATCTAAAAACAAACGTTTCTCCCACACAGTTCCAAGGAATTTAATTTGAGTGGCAGAGTAAAGGTTTAGCAGCCAAAATACCTCGTGGCTTTGGAGCGCAGTTTAAATCACTGTGAGGTGGAGTTGGAAAGAAACTAGAAGAAGTTTAGATTTTAATCACCTGTTTTTTTGTTTTTTAACTAGTATTGTTAAGTCTGATACAGTGGCAAAGATAGAAGCTAACATCGATATGGTAGAGTCCTTGTTGTAGCTCTGGGACAGTGTGGGTCCTGTGAATACTCCCAGTGTGTGACGGGGAAACAGCCCAGACTGCTTCCTGATTAGTTTAGTGGACCACAGGACTGCGTGGACAGAAGCTGCGTGATCTGCCACTGTGTGTGAGTGCACGCTTGTGTATGTGTTTCTTTCTAAGGAGGGGGATTTGACTGCGGCCATAGTGGTTCTAGACCATGTAATTACTCCCACTTAGCATGGAGAGAAAAACAACAATTTCAGTCATAACACAGTTGGGAATTATGGTTTGGACAGAGTTGTCTATGGTCTTTACGCACTATGTCCAGATATTCCTATCGGCACAGGTTGCGCTTCAACTATTAGGGACAATTACCCATTTCCCCAAAAATAAAATGGGTTTCTTTCCAGAAGCTCCTTGGTGGATGGATCCAAACGAGTCAGCATTTCCATTTTCTGCCTCATCTCACTGCACACTCACATATACATTTAACTCTAATTTTAAAAAGACTAATGAGTGCAATAATCTCTCGGCAACAAGGTAATTGTGCATAAAACCAAGGGAACATGTGACGCCTTGTCAAGAGCAGGCCTTGTGTTTTCTTCTCTCTGCTCATTTTTTTTTTCTTCCAGAGAAACACCTTGAACCATTCAGTTGAGCGACAGTTCTAAACACAGCCTGGAGCTGCTATTTGTTTTTTGTGTGGGCAGAGCCAAACCACAAGAATATTGCATTCGCCAGAGCAGAGCAAATTTAGGACAGGCGATGACAATGCATGGAAGCAACAGGGTAAGTATGTTGTATTTTTGGATGAGTGAGCAAAAAATGGCAATGAGTCACCGTTTAGCTGGGAAGAAACATGGCAACGGAAATGTGAAGACGCTACAATATGTCTGTCAGTGGGTCTGACAAGTTAAATGATACTGTAAAATCATTTTTTAAATAATTTCTCAACAAACGTTTTATTGAGTCTATTCTGAATCTGTTGCGAGTTTAATTTTGCACATCATATATGGGCATTTTCACATCTTATCTGTATACAAAATAAAAATCTGTGACAACAGATGGAGTATTGTCTTCTTGAAGAGGTGTCAGATGATCACAATGGAATATTTTACTCTTGATCTTTACAAACGTCGAGTTTAGGGAGAAGGGTAGAGGGATGAAAGGAAATCTGGCCTTGAAAGGAATAAATTTGTCCACTACAAATGTGGCACGTTAAGATTGGATAAACTCAAAACTTACAGGTGAACAAATCTGAACATGATACATTTATGTTGAGATAGCACTTTTCTACTAAGTCTAATCTGTGCCGTGGTTATTTTGGGTTGTGTGACACATAGACACTATAAGACACACTGCACTTCTTGGAGGTATAACGTTACCCACAAGACTGCATGGGCAACAAAGAGCAACAGCGACCAAACCAACTTTGGAAAATCCCATTGAAGGAGGTTACACCGCAACGTCAAAATCAACAACAACAAAAATGATTTATACAAAGTCCCATATTCAAGACTGCTTGTTCTGCCATGATGAACTGTAGTTAGATAATAGATGACATATAGTAGATAATATTACTAGGCAAAGGCAAGAACAAGACCATCCTTCCATGCTAGTACTTGATTTCTGAGGCTTAAGCCCAGACTGAGTCACCAGGACACTGCACCTCCAAGCCCAGCTCATAGCTAAACCTTGTTGAGCTGTCATAGAAGAACACTGAATGTCACACTTTAAGACACAGTCAGGGGTACAGGGAGGTACGTTTGATGAGTAAACTGACCAAGACTAGTCTGATCCAGGCAGTGGTATGAGCCATATCAAAAAGAGAGTCCATTGTTGTATAGGTGCTCAAGAGAAAAGTTACCCAGGGGATGGAATTGTGTGCCCCTCACAGGAGTTAAATTCAATTCAAATTCAAATTCAAAAATACTTTATTAATCCCAAAGGGAAATTCAGTGTTGTTATAGCTCATCATCCTGGTTGATCCTTTTGTTTTGTTTTGTTTTTTTGTGGATGTCCAGAGGACCAGATTTAACTTTTTTAGATTTTTCTACCTGGATTATTGAGCATGCATCAGGATATCCTTTTCAACTCATTTGGGATTTGGGGCTGTAGTTGAGATATTTGAACTTTGAGATGTTAATCAGCTGCTCCTGGTTGTTAAAAAAAAAACACCTTGTAAACACCATGGTTACACGTCATAACAAAAGTCCAAAAGTAAATAGGATTCAGTAAAAAATCCTTCCAGCTGCACAGCATCCGATACCAAAGGAAATAATCATCCAAAAAAAGCAATTTACAGCCAGAAAAAAGAGGAATTAAAGTTTTCAAAAGTAACAACTCAGAATAAAAGCAACAGAGCTACTCCAACATGCAACCACCCCAAGTGGTGCAATTCTAGAACTTGGTAGCCCCCAGGAGAACAACAGATGTAACGTGGCTAGAGACCTTGTTACAACGCACACCTTAACTAATCGTTTTAGTGTCTTCTCTGCACTTCACTGGGAAAAGCCAACCTAAGGACTTCACTAAACCATCCAACCGCTAGTAGTGACATACGTTGCTCTCAGGTTTCTCTTGTAATTGGTACTATTTGTTTGGTATCCATCCAGTTTTTTTGGGGTTTTTTTTAACAATGGCAGGTTTGGTATGTCCCCATGCCCTTATGTTCACAGCTCATTACAGAGCACAAGACAACTAGTTTGATGATTTTAGGGAGAAATTTCCCTATTTTACCGGAAACCACACATGGCAACAATCACATACAGCTTGCAGTGCAACAAGAGGAGTAAACTTAGATCACAATATTCTGTTGATATAAACTCTATGGACCCCAGACAAATTTCTTTAGAATCTTAAACCACTGCAGGTTTGATATCCAGACACGTGACCAGATTCCTCAACAACCAAACACTAAAACTTTAGCTGTACCAGTAATTTATCAACGCAAAACACCAACTGGAAAAACTGTTTTGCTTTATTTGGGTTTAATTACTAAAGTCAAATAAACTATCACATAAATTACACAGTAGTCAATTTCTTCCAGGTTCTGGTCAATGTCTACATCAAAAAAATATTAATTTCTTAGTGAGCAGAGATATTCAGATTAAAATGACTGTTACTGAACTCACAAGAGGTCATACATATACTTTAATTTTATGGCTTGGTTCTTGCATTCTACAAAGAGTGCTGCTTTGATTGACAAGTTGCTCCAATTGGTTCACATTCACGGCAGCTGTTGACAAGAGGCTAAGAGTTCCCAACAGAAACTCTTTGGGTTGGAGGATTGCCTGGGAAGGAAGTGGTGATGAGACAAGAGGAAGCCAGAGAGCTACAAGAAGAAAATGACATCTGAGAATAAGGCGAAGCTCTCCATCCTCTTTCCGTCTCCCTACATCTTCTATGTTTCCAAAATAAGTGTACTGTGGCACACATTTCTCCTGGGCAGCACTTTCAGACTGATACAGCCTCAGTTTAAAGAATTCCTCCACTAGGAGAAGCTTGAAGCGTATTTTTGATTCGCTCGTCTTTTAAAACAAAGATTAAGAAATGTCTTAGTTTGTGGGTTTTGATGGAAGTTGTGAGTTTGGTTTTAATTTTAAGGCTTATCCCAGGAACACACAGGTTTCTGTCCCAAAAAGGCAGCAGCAGCAAGAGGAGGAGGAGAGGAAGAAAAAAGGGAGGGCAGTTTGGTTAATGAGCACCAGATGCCCTACCTTCAGTGGTAGCCACATTCTTCAGAGCTTTAGTCGGTGTGTGATCTGTGCTCGAGCTAATGTCAGAGGAGATGCTTGAGCTCCCTTTACCTGTGGAAAAGAAGAACATAAAGGCTTAAACGTAATAGTTGATGCTTCATTGACTTGATTATAAAAAGGACTTTAGTTTTTAGACAGGAAAACTTGTTTTTCTAACATTACGGAGTGTCTGACATCGCTCCTCTGCTGTAACTCACTGTTCTAATCCAAAAGTATGAAGTGCAAGGAAATATGAAGCCCATAACTCTGCTTTTGACTTTTACATTTCCCAGCTGAGGAAGAGTGGCTTCCCTTGGCACACGCACAAAGTCTGGGCTGATTTGTTTGAACGAGTATCCGCTTTTAATTTCTGTGGTCCATTGAAGCATCATGCTGTCCTCACTTTAAATGGGACGAGTGAGGAAGCATTCTGGAGGAAGATCTCACTTAATGACTGATTGCATCTTATCTACAGCATATAGGTCATATTCTTTGTACAACCTCGAAACAGACAAATCAAAGCATTTCTATTAAGTCTGAGTCAGTTCCAAACTGTTTTTATGAGTTATAAGACTTATATTCTATTGAATGGCAATTTTTTTTTAATTTAATTTTACAGAATTAAAATGGGAATGTGTGCTTGTTCTTCTGGAGTATGACAAGCTTTACTGACATGGTGGCTGCAGGCTGCTTGAAGAAAAGTTTACTTTTCTGTCATCTGACATTCCTCTGTTAGACTTTAAATGCAGCTTTGTGGCTTTCCTGAGAGTAAGCTTATATTTTAGTGAGGACAGGCGAAGGCACGTCATGAGCAGTTACCTACACAAACTGACTCCTGAAACAGCTGATTAACATAAAGAATGGGACTGGATGGGTGTGTGTGTGTGTGTGTGTGGGGGGGGGGGGGTAACTTGAAGAACCAAATGGCTCAAACCAACGCAGCTTATCTGTGATGAGCATGAAAATTTTTTTTAAGGAGGCATCACATCGTGTTTACGGGGCGTTTGTAGAGAAAAAGCAGCAAAGAAGAAAAATGGAGGTTTTACAAACTTCCACTTGTGTTCTGGTGGATGATGGTTGCTGCATATTTGTGACCAGTGTGTAATTAATTGGGGAGACACACTTGAAAACAGATGTGGACTGATGCCTTGCAGAGTTCTGCACTTGTAAATAAAACTCCGGTCTTACATACCTCAAAGCAATAATAACTTCCACATTATACTTTAAGTAACAAGAAAAGAATGCTGACTGAAGAGAATATGTGGTATATTATTTAAGTAATGGATACAATTAGGACAAAACCAATTTATAGCAACACAACCGCATTGTCTATTATTGCACTTTATCATAAACTGATGCCTAGATTAACAGAAATGCATTTCCTCACATCATCCATCCATCCATCCATCCATCCATCCATCCATCCATCCATTATCTTCCACTTGTTCCAAAGTCTGGTCTCGGGGGCAGCAGCTTGAGCATAGAGGTCCAGACATCTCTTTCTACAGCCACCTCTTCCAGCTTTTCTGGGAGGACACCAAGGTGTTCCCAGGCCAACCGAGAGACATAGTAGCGTGTCCTGGGTCTTCCCCAGGTTCTCGCTCCAGTCGGACATGCCCTAAGCACCTCAATAGGGAGGCGTACAGGGAGCATCCTTACCAGATGCCTGAACCACCTCAACTGGCTCTTTTCAATGTGGAGGCGCAGCGGTTCTACTCCGAGTCTCTCCCAGATAAATGAATGTTTCACCCTGTATCTAAGAGAGAGTCCAGCTAACTGTATCTGTGATCTCTTTCTTTCAGTCACTACCCAGAGTTCGTGACCATAGGTGAGGGTAGGAACATAGACTGGCCGGTAAACAGAGAGCTTTTCCTTACAGCTCAGATCCCTCTTCACCACAACAGACCAGCACAGAGTCCACAATACTGCAGATGCTGCACCAACACATCTGTCAATGTCACGCTCCATTCTTCTCTCACTTGTGAACAAAGCCCTGAGATATCCTGATGCATGCTCAATAATCCAGGTAGAAAAATCTAAAAAAGTTAAATCTGGTCCTCTGGACATTCAAAAAACCCCAAAACAAAGCAAAACACAGAAGATCAACATCATCAGGCCAGGACTCTGCGGTCTACACTCATCTCCAGGCCAGCGGTCACTCTTTCAGGGATGAAGATGTTCACATCCTGGATAGAGAGGAACGATGGTTTGAGAGAGGAGTAAAGGAGGCCATCTTTGTGAAAAGAAACCGTCCATCGTTAAACAGGGGTGGAGGCCTACGGGTTCAACTGTCCCCCTCTTACAATGCTGTGATTGCTAGTATCACTCAGCCCTCTGTGAATAGTACACAGCCATCAGTGTGCTAATGATCCATTGTTAGGCTGATGGTCTTTCTTGAGCATGTGATCAGCTGGTTTTGGTTGTCAGCAGCAAAACTGGTTGATCCACTCTGAGAAGGTGCTATTTAAGAGACTGAGCTGAAAACAGCACCTCAGACTGAGGAAGTCTCTCGGACGAGAGACGAAACGTTTCTAAATTTTTTGTTGTTTTGCTTTGTTTTGGGTTTTTTTGAATGTCCAGAGGACCAGATTTAACTTTTTTAGAAAGCCCTGAGATACTTGAACACCTCCAACTGAGGCAGAACCTCACTCTCCTCAAATCATATTTCCTTCAAGCAGCAGATAATTTTCAAACGTTTTGTTATCAGACTTATCACAATGACTCGAGCAACATCACTTTTCAGTAGGTGTAACATTACACCTAACTGCCACCATGCTTCAATCAGGATAAGTTGTCACTACTACCACTGCAGCTGTGGCTGAGTGGTTAGAGCAGTCGTCCTCCAATGCGAGAGTTGGGGGTTCGAATCCACCAGCAATCACATGTCGAAGTGTCCCTGGGCAAGACACTGAACCCCTCATAGCCTCTGATGTGTGTCCCATCAGTGTATGAAAGTGGTCTAAAGCTCTGATTAGTCTCATTAGAATGATGTGTTCAATTATCTTTGTAGAGATGTAAAGTGCTGTATGGATGGGTAAATGAGGACACAGATTGTAGTGTAAAAGAGCTTTGAGTATCTTGAAATAAGATAGAAAGGTGCTATATAAGTACAGTCCATTTACCATTTACCATTTACTACCACAACTGTACTACGGATGTTTTGTGCTCAAAACCCTCCCCAACCTATCATGTTCTATTACAGGTAATGGGAAGCCCATAGGTCATCAGTTTCAATTCAATTCAATTCAAAAATACTTTATTAATCCCAAAGGGAAATTATTTGTTGTTGTAACTTGTTATCCTCATTTCATTAAGAGATGTTATAGATACTGATGGCTGTAGGCAGGAAGGATCTCTTGTAAAGGTCCATCCCACAGTGGATCCTAAGAAACTGGCTGCAGATGCCATCCGATCCGTCCACCCAGACTCGACTGGCCTCTCAGTTCCCCCGGGATTTAGGACCGCCTGAATGCTGGGCAGAACTCCTCCCAGAGCGATGGATTTGCCACTGAAGACCTCATCAAGACCCTGCAGAGACCCTCTTAGCTCTGGATAGTTTTGCTGTGTGAGGTTGTCAACCAGAGTAAAAGGGGCCTTACAAAATTTTAAGAATGAATTTGCTGTGAATGTTTTAAATGGTAAATGGACTGTATGCATATAGCGCCTTTCTATCTAGTCAAGTGCTTTACACTACAACCTGTGCCCTCATTTACCCATTCACTCTACTAGATCTCTAGAAAGCTAATCTGAATTAGGAAATCCTTTGTGTACTATGCTTTCATAAAAAGAAAATGGGTACCACTTTACAATAAGGCTCCCCTTATAGACTAATAAATAATTTATAGATTATTATTAATTCCTATATAAACACTTTATAAATCATTAATAACTTCTTATTATACATTAATTAAGAGTGACAGAGAGACAAAACTGACCAGTTCGTTGCCAATCAAGTCTCTCTTGTAAATGAGTCTTCGAGGCTCAATGGGATTAACCTGTCTAAATAAAGGTTGAATGAATGAATGAATCTGTAGAGACCAATAAGTACTTTAAATCACATTCATACACTGATGGGACACACATCGGAGGCAATGAAGGGTTCAGTCTTTCCCAGGGACACTTCAGCATGTGACTGCTGGTGGAATCAAACCACCAACTCACCCATTGGAGGACGACTGCTCTAACCCCTCAGCCACAGCTGCCCCAAAGGTATACAAAGATGTACAGGTACACAAATGCACGTTACTATATGTATTTGAAGCAATATAAGTAAGAACGTGATTTACAGTATTGAGCAGTAATGTCTCATAAGAAAACGTAGACGTAAATCTTTCAGGAAATGTTGCCTACTTCTGTCCAGTTAAACAGGAAACTCAAACTGTGTATAATCACATGGAAAGGTGTGATCCAAGTCGTGTTCTTTTAATACAATAATGTTGCTGCAGGACGAGTAGCTGCTCACGAACCTTAACAAGCTAAACTTGAAGGTGGAGCTGCTTCATGTGTTGGTTTTTAAATCACGGGCTCCAACCTTTTTTTTTTTTTTTTTGCACTTATTGACTTACAAAGAGACCTCATTGGAATGTTATTTATCCAAGCATCTCTGCTCTGGAGCCAGAAATAATGCATTTGGCTAAGGTGGACAGCTGTTTTTCTTTTATGAATGCTGACGAGATAAGTTGTAACAAGATGAATGTTAAGCCTTTTTGGTGGTAACACCCAAAATGGTGTCCAAACATTATTTGTAGCAATAATAATGGGGCAGCCCATCCAGCTGAGTTGATATTCCTGGATTATTAATGCCACATGTTGGAAATAACACCTTTGTGGTATGAGGGTCAACTGAGTAATATAAAAATAAGGTTAAGTGATTAAGTTTGAGCTGCATTCCTGTTGATTAAGCATTTGTACAAATCCGACAGCGCAGTAAATCTATGCATGGTAAATATCTTAATGGCTTAATATTTTGGAAATTCAGCTGCTGTTTAATGGTTTTGTTTTTTTAAATACCGAACAAACAATTTTGCACATTTTGTTCTAAAGAGGTCTGGTTGCCACATCTCCATTTACAGAAATGGGCACCTGCAGGTGCTACTTACCATAAAAAATGTGGAATAAATTCAGGGAAAATAGTTATTTTACAGAGTTTTATCATTTCTAGGTGAATCTACGAAAAGATTGCATAAGGTGGCACAAGTATAATATACGCTGTATGAAGCTGCATATAATAAATCATATAATATATACAGTGTATTACATTTACACAGATTACATGGGATGACCAGCATGTAAATCAAAATGGCATTGAGGTGCAAGAACGTCTCTGACGTTGTGGACAAAAAATCTCTGGAATTAGCTCTTGTCGAGATAAGAACGTGCTCTCATAATAAACACTCGTTCCTTTTCCTCCACCTCCATTTAACCTGCAGGAGCAACCCTTCAATGAAAACAAGCCATAAATACATTATATAGACTAGTTAGTACATTATAATACATACATACATTATAATAGTAATAGTATACATTACTTTGTAGTTAGTTGCTCTATAGTTGCCTGCTGTTGACCAATAACCAATCCAGTTTCTTCTCCATGTTGCTGGGAGATAGTGCCTATCTAACAGGTGGGGTACACCCAGGACAGATTGCAATCCATCACAGGACAACATAGGGCCTCGTTTTTATTTTATATTTTATATTAGCAATGATTTCTAAATTTAGTTTGACTTCCGTAGATCGTGGACCCACACTTGGCATTTCATAATCCGTTGGGTCCTATTCCAATATTTGGGGAAACACCATCATGAAGATAATTTAAAAAAAGAAAAGGCTGTTTTGTTTTATCATGTTATCATGTTGAGATTTCAACAATTACTTATGTGTTATGGAGTAGGTTGGATTTAGATATATCAGCCACCTGTTGGAAAAACTCCCAGCCAAGGAGGCTGATTATAACATAAAGGGAATACCCACAGAGGCTGTGACAGCTTAAGAATCTCATATCTGTATTTATTCTTCTTGATTTTACTTAACGCAATACAACTTCTCTTTGTCTCACATAAACATCCCTGGTTTATTACTCGCTTTCCTAAAATGTAAAAGTTAGGACTGTTCACAGGCTGATAAATTACCACCTGTAGTTACAACAATATAAACTAATGACTTAACAATTAAACAATAAGTTAAGTGTTCCTTTTTCTGACATGTTACATTGCACACAGCAGCCATTTATTTGACACAAAGGTCTTGTGGAAAGAAAATCCTGTGTTTGGTATACTTTCATAAAAAGAAAATGGGTATCACTTTACAATAAGGCTCCCCTTATAGATGGCTAATAAATAGTTTATATATACGTTATTAATTCCTCTATAAACACTTTATAAATCATTAATAACTGCTTATTATGCATTAATTAAGGGTGACGGAGAGACAAAACTGACCAGTTTGTTGCCAAATAGTGAGCCAAATCTGTTCACCTATATATTTCATCTACAGTTGTTATATTAAACATTTCAGAGTAAGTTACTACCTTTTGAGCACAATAAGCATTTGTAAACCTAATTTTTTTTTTTACGATATAAGATTAGTTGTATAATAAAGTGATTAAGTACAATAGTATATCCTTCAAGTGCTCACAAGATGGTAAATTAGTTTGAAATGTTTAATATAACAAGGAAATATAAAGGTGAACAGATATGGCTCACTATTTGGTAAGAAAATGATCAGTTTTGTCTCTCCGTCACCCTTAATTAATGCATAATAAGCAATAATTAAGGATATATAAAGTGCTTATAAATGAATTAATAACGTATCTATGAGCTATTTATTAGCCGTCTATAAGGGGAGCCTTACTGTAAAGTGGTACCAGAAAGTCTACTTTTATAATAATAAGAAACTATAATATGTCTTCTAAAGCAGATTTACAGTGAAACACAAATAGTGCAGTCATTACACACAAGCGCTCTACAATATAAAAAATATAATTTACCAAAAGATTTTGAACCAGAACTGGTGGCGATTTGTGTTTATTAACATTGGCTCATAGATATTGAAATATAATATCCAGAGACGGACAGCTCATCTAGGCTATTGTTCACTAAGTAATGTTTATGTGGTCAGTCAGGAGGTCTTTCACACAAAATGCCAACGTTGTTTAAATGTCTGTTTCAAATTTCACAAATGCACCTCAGCGTTGAACAAAAGTCATGATTGCGAAAAGAAAGCCGCACAGAAACAAACAGACCTCTCTGAGTCGACAGCTCACAACATCCTCATGAAAAGGTGGAAAGACTCGTGACCCTGACTTTACTGTACGTTTACAGTACATTGCTAAAACTCTGTTTAACAGAGAGACTCGTGTACATGTTTATGCATTTGTCAACATTATTTTTAGTTCTTTATAGCAGTTAGGAGTAAATGTGCAAATGGCAATCATTTTGAAAGTTAACTTGATTTCCACCGATCCGATCGCCCACATGGCGCCTCAATTTAAAGAACTATAGACTAATACCCCTTGTATTTTGGTCAAACCTTGAAAAACAATGTTTGCTGCAATATTGTGAGATGCACATTCAGTTACCATACAAGAATTTATCTAATTATTTCTAAAATCATAAAATTATAGACTTTTTTTTTATGTTTCTAAAATTAATTGGTTGTGCAGCCATCTTGAACTGAGTCAGCTCCAAAAGCCCATCAGTTGCAAACATACATGATTATTTATTGGAAGTTTCTATAAAATCTGACCAGCATTTGATATAAAATTTTGCTTACTCTCAGTTGGCTTCAAAGTGTTATTGGCAAAAATAAAATAAAATAAAATAAAGAGCTTGCTCAATCTGTTCGTGCTCAGAGTATATGTTGGGGATCATTCTCAGCTACACCAAATCTTTGGTCAATATTTGTAATATTTACTGATTCATAGCCTTCTTGGTGTTTTCAAGGTCAATTGGCTGTGGCAGCCATCTTGATTTGGGTTGAGTCCAAATAAAAAGTGCATCTAATGACCATTTTCTTAGAAAGTTTAATTAAAACCCATCCAGTGGTTCATATTTTTGCAGGATATTAGTTTGCAAAAATTATAGAATTATTGAGCTGTAGAAAAAAAAATCAACAATTGGAATGGACTAAAACTATGAGCAGTGCATGTCTGCTTGAAACTGAAGTTTGAGGAACAATGGAGTTAAGAAGCAACTCCTTGAGATAAGAGGAAGAAAAATAAAACTGATCCATGCAACTTATTAAATTTCATTATACTTAAATGAGGTGGGGGAAATAACGGATTTTATACAAAACTGCATCAAACTAAAAGCATTCAAAGAAGACAATTAGAGTCCAAAGTACAGATGCAGGAAATACAACTTAAAACAAAAAAACTAAAGATGGATTTGTGCTCATTTTAAACTGCCCAGAAAACCCAACATACCAAGGTCTCTATTTTTAGTTAACTCGGACTGTGCACGACAAATCTTCTTCTCTTGGTCACTTAAAGTCCCTTTTCTTGTTCCAGAGCGACTCCAGCTCGTTTTTCCACACATTGAGTGTTAAATGAACGGAGTTGTTGCAACACTTACCTTCGCTTCCATACTGTTTTCCATTGTTCGCACCCATCTTAAAGAATACATAATCTATGAGCAGACTCCCGGATTATCAAGCTGAACTCCAGAGAATTACAAAAAGAAGAGGGGAAAGAGTTCATAAAGTTAAGAGTAAAGGCTCTGGGTTGAGATAGTTAATCCAGATGTTGCGCAGGACGCATTACGCAAACCAAGACTTTGCAGCGGTGCAGAGGCTCTGAGCCCTGGAAACTAAAGTCCCGATTTCTAAGGAGGTCCAAGAAAGAAAAAAAAACTTTGTGAAGTTCCCTAAAATGGTAAGCAGCTGTTTGAAATCGGGATGAGTGCGGGCACTTCCAACAACCCAGACAAGTTTGTGAGGACGCGCAGATCTCCTTCTGCTGGGTTTGGATTTAAAGAGACCGCAGACCAAGGAGGGAAATGTGGACGGGGGTGGGGGGGGGGACTAAAAAAAACTTAAACAAGAAAAAAGAAGAAGAAAGGCCAATATCATGACTCAGACATGCCCAAATGATAACTTGGCTGAGATTAATCTGACATGCGTTCAAAAAGAAGCACAACTACTCAAACATTTCCACACAGAGTGGGTGAATAATTCCATTTCCCTGCTGATTTTATAAGTTTACCCACTTACAGAGAAATAAACAGTCTCTTAACTTTCATGCGTTTCATAATGGAGACAGCTTGTCAACTAAAAATCCAGATTTTTTTAAAAAGACATACAATTCCTTGAAAGAATGTATATCGTTCATGTCAGAGTTTTAAACGATCATCTTGTGGAAAATGATATATGATAAATGCAGCAGTTTTGGTCAAAATGTTAAACATGGATTCAGATGGGCGAAGATCTTGCACGATGAGTTCTTGGAAGAGAGTTAGGAATGACTAATGCTGCTCCAACCACACCAAATATTAGCACCACATCCATAAAACAGACTGAATAATTCTGTTTTATTGGCCATGATAGCCAATTTGAATTGGGCTGACTTCAAAAAGTAATTGTGAGTATAATAATCCCATGATTATCTACTAGCAAATTTCATTATCCATCCAATTATTCATGAGATAGTTTGGTAAAACACATACATGCTGCTTTCACTTTATGAAAATGTGTTTGCATGTCCAGTGCAATAAATATTCGCCCTCTTACAAAGCAAACATGTTTTTAACATGAGGTTAGTTGGTTAGGTCTCCTTGTGGAATCAGATTAGATGTCTTTATACCAACTTATTTAAATTAAGGGCACCTTTGCACAGATTCAGTTTCTTCCATTTCAACCTCTCCACCTCCACAAGCAAAAGCAAAAAGTTGCCAGTGGATATTAGAGATAGAAGAGACTGGAATGGACTACAAAGCTATTAATGAGAAATTTTGAGTAATGACCATCAGTCGCCTTTAGTTAGAGCTACATACAAGATCTTACCTCATGAAAAGATGATCCCACTATGAACAAAGTTTAATGACCTGAAGGCAGTTAGAACCACATTTACCAATAACACCAAAACTGTAATGGGTTGAAATCACCCATTGCCTACAAGGCCCCCCAGCTCAAGGAGGTAAGGGGCCAGTCTTAACATCTTGATTACTGTGTACTGTGGTGACATGAAGACAAAATTAAGTTATCTGGAGTTGGCTCCATCTGCCATGTTTGGAAGGAGAAAAATGCTGAATATGACCTGCAGAACAACATCACCTTATGGTTGGAGGTAGAAACATTATGCTTTGGGGCTGTTTCTTCTAAGAATGAAGGACGACTTCGCATACAGAGGCAACTGGATGGGACCAATCTTGGAGAACCTCCTTCTCTCATCCAGAACACTGAGCATGGGTATTCTGAAAATGACCCAAAACAAGGCAACAAAGAAGAGGCTAAAGAAGCATGTTAAGGTCAAGGAGTGGTCCGAACAGTGTCCAAACCTCAGATCTATGATAAAAAAAAATGTGAATGGAGATTCAATTTTTCAAGCTGGAACCAAGAAACTTTAAGGATTATCCAACAATGTTCAGTCAGCTCATCTGGACAGTTTATTTTGTTGCTGAGACGTTTCGTCCTTCATCCAAATAACTTCTTCAATCTGAGGAGCCACCAACAACCAAAACTGATTCCCACAAACCGCACAGTCCATAGTGGAAAAAAAAAACTGTTTGCTGGTGCTAAAACGGCCTCTGGAGCCCACCCTCTCCTCCGTCAACTCTGAGACAATCATGCCAAAGTGGTTAAAAACACCAAAGTTCATGTCCAATAATCCAGGTATAAAATCTTGGATTATTGAGCATGAACTTTGGTCTTCAAGAATTATGTTTCTGTAATGGGGAAGTGGGCCAAAACACCAGTGCAAACCTGGTGACCAATAAAAAAAAAACACTTAGCACTGTGCTTACCCTTAAAGTTTCTTTGTGAGCAAACTAACCACATCAACAAGAAATCATATATCATTCCCCTACAGCATATCCTTTTCTTCTCAACCAATCAGAACCAAGGACGCATAATCTCTCAAATATTCAGAGGATACAGGTCCTCCAAAAGAAGAGTGGTTTAACCACATGCTGGTCTGTTCCTATAATAGCAGTCAAACAGGTCATTGGATATGCTGGAGTAACGGCGCGAGACAAAGCCAGTTGTCTGCTGCTGACAGTTGACCAAATATTCTAAGTACAAGTCAAATTCCTCTGTGTGTGCACACGGCAGATACTACGCTGTGATGTGTTTTCCATGCCAGATAATATTGTGAAACCCTGAACCTCTTCTGCGCATTAGGTAGTAAAAAGATTACTGAAAAACAGATTAGACACATTTGGTTTAAGATGTCTTGGCTTGTATCCAGGATAAAGAGGTTTTTGTGAAAAGTTTCCATTCCAGAATGAAAAAAAAAAGTTTCTACACAAAATAGTTTTATTGTAACAAGTTTTGCTTTCTCAACTAAAAAGAAAATACAATTGGTAAAACGTTAATGGGGACACTTCTGAACTTTGACGAGAGATTCTGTGGAAACGATTTGAACAATATCTTACCTGAGGGAGATGGCTCAAAACCACCTCGGTATGGAGGAAGTTTAATTCTGCCGAGCTAACACTGTGGTCACTTTAGCATTAGTAGTAGGGTAAAGGTCAACAAACTAGCATTTGCATAAACTGCTGTAATTTTATGATTTTTTATTTTTTAAAGGCAGCAGTCCACTTTGGTTTTGTCCACGTTTGAACAAGCATCGGCTCATCACTATGATCAGAATTTAACTTTTTTTTTAACTGATAACATTCAAAGAATGAACAGGCAAAACTGTTCTTGCTTCAGAACCCCCACTTAAAACTGAACTATAATTTTAATTTAACTATGCAGCTCATAAAAATAAAAATCACATTTTTAATGTTCAGACTACAATAAGAGCCATTTTATATCGAGTACATTAGAGCCAGAATGAACCTGTTTAAATGGCATTGGATTAAGACAGTACCAAGCTACTGGGCCCAGTCAAACCCAGACCTCAGACCTTTACAGTCAGCAATCTCTGCCACCCTGGAATGCAAAGCAACCACTTCAACCTCAAACATTACATATGACGAGCACCACGAGTCAGTACATGTTCCTGCTCAAATCAATCTAATATGTAAAGAAAATGGTAAACGCTGAGCTTTTGCTTTATTTTTTAACTTGTAATTCAACTGAAAGTTCACCACTGCTGCCCGTTCAATGAGGAAACCCACCGAAGACCAGTTAAGGGTTGACAGGAGAGCTGGTGCTCATTTCAGATGGAAGCCCAGATATGGCACCACAAGCTGACGCAGAAACGGCACCATTTTCTGGCACAGCTGCACTTTGAATAACTGTAGATTCTTCATTGGTGTCCATCTGAGAAGTCAAGTGGTCATTTTCAACTTGCGTTGTGGCCAGATGTCTGGAAGGAACTGGACTGGGTATCATTTTCTCCAGCCTGCTGTATAATGCCCTCATGGTCACAGGAATGGACATGCAACTACAATGGAAATAAAGAAAAAAAAAAGCTAGAATTTATCCTATGAAAGCAATAAAGGAGAAATATTATAATTAAACATACCTCCTCATAACTGTAGAGACATATTCATCCAACGAGGAATCATTTATCCCTGATCCAAACAACTTGCAGGTAATCTGATGAGGATCAGACACATCCACCAGCACTGTGATAACACAAGGAGACTATTTATACACTGGAAGCAACAGTACAGATCGTTTGAAGTGGGGATAATGGAGAATAAATATCTTATCTGTTAGATGCCTCATTATATGAGCCCACTTGGACAGTTTAATTCACGCCTATTGACAAACAAATGGCTAGTCCAAGAAGTTCTTAGAACAAAGTGGGTTGCTTTGCTCCTAAAGCAGTTCCAATCTCAAACTTCCTATTGTTTCTAACAGTACTTTGAAAAGCTTTATGTCGAGATCAACTTTGCATTGCCCAGTTATTTATGTTAAAGTTCAACTCTTACTGTTTCCTGTAGAACCTCTTGTAGGAATACAATGTTTTTGCCGGAATGTCAATCTGATGGCTGTGTAAGGGTTTTGCATGAACCAATAAACAATTTCTGATATGTAAAGCCATTTTAGGACACAAGCTCTCTCCTTCCATCTTGATCCTGCTTGGACTAACCATTAGCTTTTCTGCTCTTGCTCAAGACGGACGCCTTCTCCTCTCCCTCACCCTGTTCTCCTCTTCCTCCTGCTTTTTGCTCTCTCTGTATCTCAGAGCTCCTGGTACACATCTTCCAATGAAAAGAATACTATTATGGATCTGGTGAGCTGGACTTTCAACGTAATTGACAAAATCATTTCTAAAAAAACGACATGGTCCTGGCGAGCCCTCATGTCCTGCCAAGACTCACGCTGCAGGATACATCAGGGATTCGTTGAGGAGTTGGGCAGCTGATGTGTCTTTCAGTTCTGTCTCAGGAGGACACAAAAGATGTTTATATAATTGGATTCATGATAGCAGAGTTTCTGCTTTTTGGCATTGGTGGGCCCCTATGTTATAGACTTTTGAAGAAGACATTGGCAACAGTTTCGGCCATAGGCGTCGCAACCATTATATGTGAAGGGGACAAGTCCCCCCCACATTAAAAAAACGTTCATTTGGACCCCCCCACTTTTACTATAAAACATTACTTTAGGCGGCGCAGTTTCTCTTTCTTCATGAACAAATCCATTCTACTTGATTAATAGGAGAATACTCAAACCACTAAAAATCCACTCCAGGTTTTCCTGGTTACCTCCAACTCTCCACCGTCCCTTCCTGCCTCTTGCCTCGGCAGAAAACGTGCACAGGTGAAGGAGGCGGTGGTATCTGTGTTACTCGCTCGCCAGTTTAGCAGCTTAGTGCGAGCAGTGGTTGACCAGGGGGTTGATCATAAACATATATTCATGTTAGGAGGATGCTTGAGAGGAGCGCTGCGTCTGTAGTATCTTAGCTTAGCATTAACTGTGACGCTGCAGGTGTAAGAGACGCTGTGTGTTCAGGTGCATTAAAGTTGAAATGTCTTTAAAACCTCCCACCTTATTGTCCTCAAGCTTTATGAGAAACATCATTTAGATGAGCAGTGGTGAACCCAAGTAAAAAAAGTCCAGTGGTGATGTTTTTTATTTCTCTATAAAGACAAATAGTGCTGATCTGAGGCTTTGTATTAAAGTTAAAATGTCTTTTAAATCCACAGATAAATTTACACAAACTTGGTGAGAAACATGCTTTAAATGTGTGGAATTAAAGGAAATCTAGGTGAAATGCTGCTTTTTTGTTCACTAGTGAACACCTTTTTTTAATGCGTGCACACACACACACACACACACACACACACACCTACACACATCATTGTGTCCCCCCCACATTACAGATGCTTCTGACGCCCTTGGTTTCGGCCATGACAAAACTGCCTAGTCTGTGTAAAGGTTTGATTTGTGCTATGAGTACTCAAAATCAGCTGATTTACAAGTTAAACCGTAAGATGGAAGTGATTTGTGAGAATCGCAGGCCACCTACAGCTTCTAGGCCTTGCATGTTGGAGTCGACTTTAAAGAAGGCTCATAGCACGGATCAGTGGAATGCCCATAAATCTGGCCATTTTGGATCTGAAAAGTACCAGCAGGACTCAAAGCTGACAAGAAAAAACAACCTGCCTGAAGAAAATCAACAGTTGTGATTTATCTGAATCTGACTCCCCCGTTTGGCCTCGGATGTGGGCCGACCATCAAATTTCTCCTGGGACATGGGTAAACTAAGGAAAAGCCTTCATCCATAGCACCCTCCACCCCCCTTCGAACTTTTTTGCAGGCTTATCAGAACTTCCGGGGGAACAACATCATCTTATTATGGCCCATCTGAAAGTGCTTCATGGACAAATCTCAACGTCTTGAGATCAAATGCATGTGTTTATAAATGTGCTTGCTGGTAGAGTTTTTTGATGTCTCAAATCGTGTCCCGATAGGACAAGATGTGAAGAGATCTTTTTTGTAATACCAATATCCATCCTCCTAGTCTTTTACATTTTTCTATCTAAAAAAGTATTCTGATAAAGAATAAGAGGCCGTGCTCTTGTAGCAGCAGCAACGTGCACGCCGCCCATCTTTCAGATGACTGTACGAACATAATCTCACTGTATCCTGGTACAATGATTTAAAAAAAACTTATTCTGATGCCGATTCTGAGCTTGCCAGTCTGGTTGGAATTAAACTCTTTCTCAAAACTGGAGATTGTTCAAAAAGCTATCCACTACAGGTAAGATATTGGTCATAATCTTTTCCACAGAACCACACCTAAAAAAAGATCTGAACTATCCTGTTAACCTGATGAACCACAGTGGGCATTTCTAGTTGCTAAAGCAACAATGCTCATTTTACCACTGTATGTAATAATAGTGATAAATCATCTACGCAAACAGTTTCAGAATTACTTTGTTGTAAATGTAATTAGGATTTAGAAAAGGGAAAAAAAGCTCACAAACAGCAAGCGAGTCAGCATGTGGCTGGAAGAAGGTCACAGAAAAGCTTGTTGCAGATTCTGGGATGACTTCAAAATGCCAGTCACGAGTCAAACCTGATGGGGATTCACATCAAAGCATTACAGAACACAGACAAAAAAAAACATTAGCAGTCCACTTTGCAACAACGATGTCCTCCACATGGGGTGTGATTCTTGCAACGTGAACGTCCTCCCACCTGCACTGGTACTCCGAGCAGAGAAACAGCTCCTCAACAGGGTGTTGATAGCACACTGGTGGCGCAGCAGCTCCAGCAGGGCTGGAACGTGAGCGGGGTGGGTGAAGGGAACGCTATCCACAATAGTTGCTCTCTGCGTGGGTACATCCCATGCTGCTCCAGGGAGCACATAACTGTGCACCACACTGCCAGGAAGGGACTGGATGGACAAAGTACTCCTTTAAGATCGTAGTTAAGATTCAAGCTACGGATTTAAACAAAATCAGTGCTGTAAAATAACATTTTCCCTGCTTGCCAATACCACTGTAAAGATCTCCTCTTCAAATATCGTCTTCCAACAGGGGTCAGCTCTCAGGAAAGCTTTTAGAAGAAGCTTGGGCAATGGTGCCCACTGCAGGTCAGACTCTGGTACAGCCACATCTGTGAATTTGTGGAAAAACAAAATTGAGACAGTTCAACCGTGTATTAAACATAAAAAAAAATATGAGGAGGAAAAATAAAGTTAACCTGTAATGTGACTGAGCCTTTCAACAAAAGATGACATCATGGGTACCGGTGGCTGCAGTCTGAGCAGGAAACAGGCAGGCAGCATCTCATATGGCACCTCGCTCAGTGGAACAAACACAAAACCACTGCCCCAGGACGCAAATTTACCGTTAGCATCCTTTTCTATGGCTCTCACTTGCTGCTATGTAAAATGAGAATGTTCCTGCTGGGTGAGAGCTTTAAAAACGATAAAACACCAACCCATGAGGGTCCAGCTCGGGCAGCTGCGGGAGGACAGACGCCATCTGAAGTTTGTGAGTCACGTCGCTGACGCCAGCTGTAACCTGGGCCGCCTGGACAGCTGGTTTCAAATCAGATGTTTCCAAATACACATGAAAAACGCAAAAGTTTAGGAAATAAGATGCTGATTTCAAAAGAGAAATTAAAATTCAAGTCGGCATCTTACATGAAGGAGTTTCCGTACGATCAGGAGAGATATAAAACTGAAGCGTCAGAGGACAGTCTGCAATAGAAGATTTTTTTTTTTTTTTTTTTAAATAAAGCTAAGATTTAAGTGTTAATATGCTTGCATCTATTCTTAACCTGCAACTTCTTTTCCTGCCATTAGAAAACCAACTCTGCCATTATTAATCAGGTCTATTTGAGGGTCACAATCCTTAGGTTCCCTAAAAATAAGAAAACTTATGAGAAAGCAGGGAATTAAAGTGGTTTTGGTTGAAGTTTGTAATGCACAATCTTGTGCAAAAAGGAAAGTGTTGCTCTTACCTTTGCATGTTGGATATTTGCTGCAAATCTTTCTCGAGACACTGTAGGGACGTCAGCAATTTTAATTTGTTTTCACTGAGGGGGAAAAGGTGGCAGAATTTAAAAACAGTGACCACAAGACGCTTCATTTAGAAAACAATGTTTTAGGAATAAATACTTGTCTCCGGGGATGTGGTAATGGGCGAGCAGGCCTCCCAACCTTTCAGAGAAATCAGCAAGATTCTGGGACCTTTGGTAAGTCAAAGAGCACAATAAGCATGTGCAACTCAAATATTTATATTTAAAGCAAATTTAATCTTGGATCACAGTTTTAGTGATACCATTTTCTGCAAGAAAAAAAAAATAGACATTTAATTTACCTCAGCAGATGCAGAAGGGACTCACTGGGCTAGAAAATCATTTTTATTTAATTAGCAAAGAAAATTCAAATGAAAAGTGTCTCAGTTGACTTAATGAACAGTCGACTTACAGAAGGGGGTTTTCCATGGGGGGCCACCTTTACCTCGTGCACGTCCCCATCCGGAAGCAACATGATTTCCAAATAAAATAAGTCATCTGTCAGGTAACATGTGGCCTCAGTAGTGTGAAAGCCCATCCTTATGAGAAAACAGGATTAATGGCAATCACCACAATAAATTCTGCAGGTTTATATCAAACAGAAGCAAAAACATTGCAGATCCCAGACATAACATTAAGTAGGTTAATTTTACCCTTGTTGCTTGGCTATCATTTCCAAACGGGACATTGTGGTGTTCATAGAGGGAGCTGGAACACAGATAAAGAGTAAAAAAAGAACATATGCACTAAATGCCTTTTTAAAAAATGACTGGAATGTTTACACGTTTACCACGAAGCTCTTTCTGGAGTCTTTCCAGAGATCTAACAAGCGTCTCACAATGTTTGGATTCGTCTCTGGATTTCTCCTATTGTGAGACAAAAGGGAGGGAAGCACAACAATGAACCAGTTGTGCGACAGCTCGAGGCTTGTGTCAACAGTCTTTGGATCCCGTCCACCCGTTCCACCAAGGAGCACAAACTGCGTGACACCACAGCAAGGAAAATATTCACATTGAGACACCTTACGCTTGAAAAACACCTTTCTGGACTTTTGTGAGAAAGTATGCTCTGCACATCACGTTGAATCCCATGATGATCACCACTAACAGAGGGTTGCGTAACTAACCCCAACTGTATTATCCCTTTGGACCACACATCATCTCAGACCACCAATCATGATTCCCCTACCAGACTCCATGAGCTGACCACTGCCAAGCTCCACTTTAGATTAATCCACACACTTTATCTACTCTGCTGCTCCACCCATGGAAAATCTAAAGAAAACTAACATTGCTGCCTTCTCAGAGGCTCAACTTGCAAGTTAGGCTTGCAAGTGTTAAAGCACACCCTAATGTATGTTTGAACACATAAATCTATACTCTGTTTGACCCAAACAATACAAATCTGTGAGTAGAGCAAAATAAATATGAGCAATGTAAACATTGCAGAGGATAATTAAAATTAAAAAGCAGCAGTACTTTGTCACATAGTGAAGAATAAAGAGGCCTGCTTAAAACATAAAAATAGCATTTATATTTTGTTTAAATTGCTTATTGAAGCTGTCAATCTGCAGAACAAAACAAAGAGTTGTGTGTTCCTGTACAGTCATCTCATAGTCTAATGGTGTGTACCACTACACCAGGTCCTGGGTGCATTTTAAAGATAGTAAACAATTAAATTCAGTTTGACTGGAACATGTCTCACCATGCATCTTCGGACAAGCTGAAATGTTTCATTCCAAGTCTTCTCGGCAAACTTAAGATGCAAGTTGGAAATTATGGCTTCGTCCTTCATCACTAAAAGCAAACAAATGGTCATTAATCTGCTTTCTTCCCCCTACTAATCTTGTCCATTACAGACCACCGTAAAATTTATCTTAACGGCGTAGTTGTTTTTATTGCTCACGTGCAATTTGTTAACTTGCCAATTATTTATTATTAGCATATTTGCCTTAATTTAAAACGTGAATCACCACCAGTATTATTATTTATTTTTTTTGTCGTCAGTAAATAATTATTACAACACAAAAGTAAAATTGTTTTCTGAAACTACCCGGGCTGGCAGGCGTTGTCAGACGGAGCCAAGCCCACAGGAGGAGCAGTCTGCTGCTAACAGCTAACCGTACAAGTTAGCCGCGGAGCTAGCCATGAGCTAACAGCTAGCGGACTCGTTTTATTTAGCCACCTCAACTCAGCCTTCGTCGAACCTTTTACCAAAGTGAATACAGTTTAATTTACAGGTAGGTGAATCTTAAACAATAGCGTTTTAGCTGCTCTTTGTGGTCACTTTTCTCCTTTTTAGCACGGTGTAGTTTAGCTACTCGCTTGTTAGCCTTTAGCTAATTAGGACGCACCGACTGAGCATCTGTTGCTGTTGGGTTTTAAAAGATCGTTTTTTTAAACATTTGTTGAGCATCTGCAATCAGCATGATCCTCATCAGCTGGGGATTAAATGGCAGGTGTCTTTATCTGCCTCTGGATTTGGTAACTCAGCTGGTTAGCCACGTTTCCCACTTGTCAACCTGCTGGTCACGTTATAATATCATCTGCAAACTTGTTATTAAGTTAACGTAGTCATTAAAGCATTATGTATCGCTCTTTGTAATGTCGTTTGTTTGCTCATTATGGTGTCAGTTTCCCAAAAGTGCTGCTTGCACAGTTGACATGAACTAACCCCATATTAACTTGTTTTTGTCGTAAATTCTGTGCCAAGTAATGAAACGCACTTTAGTTAGTTATTAATGTTGGTCATTGTGGTCAGCACTCGCTTTAATTCCATCTGTTTTCGTGACGGAGAAGTTTTGGTTAAAACATTGCATTTGAAACGTTTTATTAATAATACTGCTCTTAAATTGCCAATGCATGCCATTATTTTCACCAAACACCTTTTGCAGGTTTAATTAAATAAAGTAAAAGTGTTTTTATGTCCTGCATTAATTCTTTATATTGCACTGCTAAGATCCTTTTTTTTTTTATCTAATTTGTCTAATGTGTTGGCATTATTCCTACATTTATCTCAGATCCCCAAAGGTCTGCCTGGGCTTAGTAACACACGCTTACACATTTCTGGACATCATGCGTCTCCTAAAAGTCTTTGTAGACAGTTCATTATGAGAAACTGACCACTAAATAGCTGTAGCATGTGTCATATCTAACACACTCCTTTCAAAGATAGAAAGAATACTGCCAGATGTTCTATAAAATAAAAAAAAGTTGTATTTGGTAATATGGGATTTACAGATCACCTGTTGGGGTATTGAAAATGCCTGCTGCTTGTTATTATAGTTATATTCTTTTAGCCTGTTTCTAACAAAAATACTGTTATTTTTAATACTGGAAAGGTCTGGGTGATTTGAAAAGGTTTTACTATTTTATTCTAACAAAAGACGGCAAACTTAATGTGAAAGTGGTAAAATACTTTTGTGTTGTATTACATTAGGAAACTGAGAACTCGTCCTTTGCTGTAGTTTAGTGAAATATTTTAATAAAGGTTGCCAGTCTTTGGTTTTAAACTTAGACTTTGGTGCATCCAAACTCAACACTGATAAGTATTTTCAGTTGTTTCTTTTACAGGCGTGCCAGTTTTTTTTTTTTTTATGTTTTGCAGCCATTTGGTGTGAAACTCACAGGTGTTCAATTCTCAGCTCTGTTTTATTTGCAGAGTGATTTTTCTGTAGAGTGAATTTTAAACCATTGCACTGTGGGTTGTCTTAATTTTCTAGAAACTGAATTGTAGTTGTCTTGTTCATTAAGTAGTACAGTAATTCCAACCACATGTTACGTTTTGTTTTCCAAACGTAGATATGTCTGTATGGCCATTTCACAAGGATGCTTTAAACATTTAACTGATCCTTGTGGTTATTTACGACTTTACCTTTCACACACCTTTTTTTGTTTTAGATGATTCAGAGACTAAAAAGTAAATAATTTATTCAAACCTAATTTTGCTCATTACTGCCACCTTAAAACCAACTCCAATCTCAAACATTTAGCATCGATTCAAGTACACATTTTTATATAAACCTGTCTGATTTGAATTACAATAATTACACAGTTGTTTCAGCCGGTACTAAAATATTCTTGGTGGATGTGCCTCAAGCTGCACTGGAAGTGCTACAGCTAGCTGCTGCTGAACAAAGTGCTGTGTTAAAACAGTTTATGACCTAATCATTTCATAATGTTTCATTCATCCTTTATCTTTACCCGCTTCATCCTTTTTGGGTCATGGAGGTCACTAGTGTCCATATCCAGCTATCAATGTGCGAGGACAAGGACACATAGAGACAAACAAGATGAATAACCATTCACTCTCACTCACACCTAGGGACAATTTAGAGTTCCCATCAGTCTAACATGCATGTTTTTGGTCTGTGGGAGGAAACCGGAGTACCTGGAGAAAACCCACACAGCACGGAAAGAACATTTAAACTACACCCAGAAATGCCTCTGGCCAGGATTTTTATCTGGTGACCATCTCGCTGAGAGGCAACAGCTCGACCAACTGCTCCACCATGCCACCCATAGCAGTTAATACAGTCACTACTTCATAAACCTTTATGTTGCAGTCAGCTTTGCGTTACATCTGTTTTTTTCCCCAGACAATTATGGGTTTGTTAATTAGAGGAAAAGATCCGCGTTGACACGGACGCATTTTGTGTTTACATGCATCCGAAGGAATCCCCCCCGCCCCACTGAATCCACTGTAGTTATCATGCTGGGTCATTAGATGGCGCTGTGAATTTTGTACCTTCACCTAATGCGCATGCGTACTGCCTCGACACGCTCCTTTCCTCTGGGCTAAAACTTCAGCTAACAACAGTTTTAACAAGTTAAAGCTGGATTTTGGCTGAACTTTGGATAAGAGTCGACAGATTTGACGCCAAGCGGGACGGCTTCAGCTCCACACCGGTTGCTGAGTGGACCAGAACCGAGTCGACGATGTTGGACTTTACTCGAGGATAATCAGTAGCTGTTTTACTGCAGGTAAATCAACGTTTTTAATAATGTTTGCTTGTGTTTACTTTGATCACACAACAACCAACTGAGTTTTTATTTTTCCTGAAAGAAGAAGAAGCTGTCCTCCCACCAGGTGGACCAGTTCTGAACAAGGCTCGGCCCAGGTGCAGTGCAGGAGGACGTGGAAGAGAGAGCTGTTGGATGAACTATTTATTTAAAATTCCCCTCAGTTCTTTTATTCAATCCATTGAATGTTTTAAGCTGCATTAATCAAAGGAGTGACAGCCTGAACGAGCCAGATGGACAACGTGGGACATCCAGGATGAAAACAAGAGTCCAGTTCATTAATGCAGTTTACAGTTCAGTTAACTTGTTTTAATAGTGTGTTCAGTTTAATTATCAGTGTTTGTGTGACATACAGTTTGTGGTGTTGAGTAAATAAATAAAAATTAAACCTGATGTCTTCATTTTCAACTTTAGTGTTCACGCTATATGTTTAGCATCATTTTAAATTTGAATTACATGTCCAGATAGCTTCATTTAGCTCAGAGCTTCATTATGTCTCGCACACTAACATAAATACTGTTTATTATTATTAAACTGTTGTTATTTAGCACATTTAGTATGTTATAGTGCAGCGCGACGTGTGCGCGTGCCATGTTCTATAAACAACGACATTAGAACTGGATCTGACTGTCTCTTCCAACACAGATGTTGGTCACAGCACCTGGAATCTGACGTAGATTAACTACGAGATTAAAAATATTCCATCAGACGTTCTGAAAGCGGTGTGTCCGCCGACATGTTGATAGAAATATAGCGTCTGTCTGTCCGCGTGTGCATGCGTGCATGTGGTTTAACACAAAGCCTCAGCGGGAGATGTTTACATTATCAGCGGGGGGGGGGGGTGTCAACGAAATACCTCCACTCTGGAAGGTGGGTTCAGAAACCTCCGGATTCAAAGAGGGGGGGCCACTGGTGTCGTGTAAATGATCAGCAGAACCGCAGAGAGAAAGCTGCGGATGCACTCAAAATACGCGCCGTGTAAACGGCCCCTTAAACTCTTTCTTTAGACTGAGTTTGTTTACAGAGCCATCTTGGTCAGGTTAAGGTGTTATTTGTCCAGAACTTTTCCATAGAACTCCATGTCAAAAGAGTTGAACTATCCATTTTAAAATGGCATATTTGCAGAAATTAAGTAAAATTTTAAGGTCGCATTTCTTATCTATCCATTTAGTGTCATCGCAATGTGTGTCTCAGTTATTCTCTGAACCACATTTGTAGTCTAACAGCAGTTTATCTTGTCTGTGCAGTTTGTGCCGGTGCATGCAGACTTTGGAAATCATGATGCAATGTCTTTTTTAAATATTTTTCTCTCACTGTAACTTCCACAAGAATTATCATTGATCACTTTGCTGCATGTGGATTCATTTTACGATGTTCATTTCAGAATTCCTCCCACCACCTTGAAGTTTCACTCCCCTGACACGTGCATCAACGCAGAGTCATGGCAGCTGCAAAGCCAAAAGGACAGAACTCTCTAGCCCTTCACAAAGTGATTATGGTGGGCAGTGGAGGGGTGGGGAAGTCTGCCCTCACGCTCCAGTTCATGTATGACGAGGTCAGTGCATCTGCCGTGTAAAATGTTAAAAAACGAGCTAATCTTCTGAGCCTAATGGGTAATAATTTTTCTTTTAGTTTGTTGAAGACTACGAGCCGACTAAAGCAGACAGCTACAGGAAGAAAGTGGTGCTTGATGGGGAGGAGGTGCAGATTGACATCCTTGACACAGCTGGCCAAGAGGACTACGCAGCCATCCGGGATAACTACTTCCGCAGCGGCGAGGGTTTCCTCTGTGTCTTTTCCATCACAGAATTGGAGTCCTTTGCAGCAACAGTAGACTTCAGGTCTCAAAGCATTTATTGTTTACAGGAAACAATCACTTGTGTATTGCAATATTTAAAAAAAAAACCTTTACTGGTTATTTTTTGTCATGAAGTTTCTTCTGCAGTTTAACTCTTTATATTAAAAAGCAAGCAGTGCTTTGTTTTAACGCTTTATGGCTGTTTTTTAGAGAGCAGATCTTGCGAGTGAAGGAGGACGAGAACGTGCCCTTCCTCTTGGTTGGGAATAAGTCCGACTTGGACGACCGGCGGCAGGTGAGCGCCGACGAAGCGAAAGCACGTGCAGAGCAGTGGGGGGTGTGCTACGTGGAGACTTCTGCCAAAACTCGAGCCAACGTTGACAAGGTTCGTTGAACACACACACACCTCCCCTGGCTATACAAGCTCACTGTGTTGAAGCATACACAAACTGAACTCCTTTTTTTGTTGTTCTTGTTGTTCCAGGTGTTTTTTGACCTCATGAGAGAAATCAGGGCGAGAAAAATGGAAGACAGCAAAGAGAAGAACGGCAAGAAGAAAAGTAAAAGTTTGGCTAAGAGAATTAGAGAGAGGTGCTGTATTTTATAGTGGCAAAGTAGAGCAGGTTCACTGCTTTATGTACATATACATTTCTCAGACTTTCACATTTATTTTGTGCCTAAACCTGGACCTGACCATGACTTTCTGTTCCTGGCTAGCAGAGCAAATGTGTCAGGAAGTAGTAAAGGTGGCACTTCATACACCATTTATAGCTCTAACTTTTTATGTGCTGACACTCCAGATAATTTATGATCCATGAACTCTTTCTTTTCTTACTCTAACCACATCTTCGAGTTCAATACAAGAATGGTGTTTTAAGTTAGGCCTAAGCTTGCCAAGAAGCTAATCCATGAAATCTAAAAAAGCTTTCATTGTACAATGTTGGTGTTTAAAGTATATTCAGACAGCTTTGAGGTGGAAATTTGAGAGAAAGGAATATAAAAGGTTTAAATGGAGAAAATGCAACTGGTTATTGTACTGAAAAACCACAATGAAATTTGCAAAAGCGTTAAACTCAGCAATGCAGTGTGAATTCAGAGTCATCAGAGGCCACCAAGGAAATTTAAACTACACTTGAGGAGGGTTTGAATTAAAAACTTATTTTTAAACTGAGCCCAAATTTGATGCCATTCCTGCTAATTTTACAGCTAATGGTTTCCTTGTATGATAGTATGTTTAAGCACTATTTTTGTCTGTGTAGTCAGTTTTCCTTCTGTTTCAAATCAAAATGTTATAAAAGCGCACTAATGTCTTCATCCCCCCCCCCCCAGTCACTTTGTCTATTGAAAATGCACAAATCCGTTGATCTTTAACCTGAGAAGGACTTTTGCAAAACTTGAACATTTTTCCAATTCTACCTTTTTTTAATTTTAATTTTTTTTAACCATACTTGGCTAATGACTTTCAATGCCTTTTCTGAGGAATCCCTGGTGCTCCGACTAAAAAAGGTGATTCCATAAACACTACGTATTTACATGCCGCTTGGACACTTAATGATGAAACAATTTGCTTCCAGACATGTAAAGATTTTCCTTTTGCTAATTTAAATTTAACCTGGCTCAGACTTTTGGTTAACTTTTGTATTTCCATCTTTTTTTGTGTTAAATCTCTCATTTCTCTTGTATCTGTCCAAAAACGTTGCTGTTAGTCACCAAAGAAAACTCCTCACTTGTATAAATAAGTGCCCACGTATTGATTCTGGTGAATGAAAACTTTATTGTGGGGATGAAAACATCAAGAACACCAATGTTTGTGTAAACAAAGACTGACAAGGTTAAGTAAATCTATGTAATTCTAGATCATATAAAAATAAAACACAAGGTTACGAGGGCTTTAGGAATTCCAGTACAGAGCGTCACTGTTCATTGTGAAGCGGATAATCCCCTCCTTACACATCCTGTAATCTTGGACTACCAGAGTGGTGTAGAGTATACTTTTATTAATCTTTTTGCCACATTTTGTGCCAGGTTGTGTTCAAATGCGATAACGTTTCAAGGAAAACGGAGTGCGTTCAACTTCTTTTCCTTTCACTCGTTGTTGAGGCAAATTTAGTTTAAAACGGCATAAAAATAAATAAAAAAATACAACAATAATTGCTATAAAAAGGCTCTACAATGGTTAAAATGTAACCTCGAGTGTACAAAAATGCACAAAAGATGTTGCCATGTCAACATTTATTAAATAAAAACTATTACAAAATTGAAAAGACTGGAAAATTTGCTCGGGCAGCACGGTGGTGCAGTTAGTAGAGCTGCCGCCTCTCAGTGAGCAGGTTGTCCGGTTCAAATCCCAGCCCGGGACCTTTCTGGGTGGAGTTTGCATGTTCTCTCTGTGCATGTGTGGGTTTTCTCCAGGTACTCTGGTTTCCTCCCACAGACCAAAAACATGCATGTTAGACTGATTGGTCACTCTAAATTGTCTCCAGGTGTGAGTGAGAGAGTGATTAGTTGTTTGCCTCGTTTTTCTTTGTGTCACTGTGATGGACTGGAGACCTGTCCAGTGTGTCCTCCACCTCCCGCACATTGACTGCTGGATATGGGCACCAGTGGCCCGAAAAGGAAGAAGCGGGTCAAGATAATGGATGGAAAGTTTGCTCATGACTCAACAAGTTGTAGAACTACCTTTAGCAGCAATAGCTTGAAGTAGTTGTTCCTGTTTGACTCAGTGATAGCAAAACAAGCCCAAATCATCAACCCTCCACCACCTTGCTCAACAATTACGAGGTATTTATGAGGTATGCAGCACGAGTGGGCTTAGTTTGTCACAGTTTTCCTATTTTGCTCAAGTTTTTGTTTAACATAGAATGACTTGCTGAAATTGAGTGTTTCTGTAGACTTGAGGTTAGACTTTAATAAAAGTAGAACCTGTTAGGACTGATTATTTTTATAATGTCTTTATATGCAATTGGAAGAAGTAAAACAGGACTTTTAGTTTCTCCTAGGACTTAAATCAGACGTTGCCAAGTTCAAATCTGATTGGAATCATTAACACAAGAGTAAGCGTGTGGAGTCTATGCAAAAGGACTGTCGTGGATGCAAAGACGAAATGTGAAACGTAGGAACACTGTGTGTTTCAACTACCTTTATTCAAAAGCAAAGTGTAGAAGTGCTTTAGCTTGAGTGCTATGTAGAGATTAAACATCCAGCTATCTTCTTTATTGGGCTTGTAATTAACGCCGTTGCATTGGTTACCTTATATGACGCAGTCCAGTGGCTTAAATGATGTCTGGTATTTTTTTGTTTATTAAAAAGCACACAGGGAAGGAGTCTAACTTGGAACAAGAGGAGGCCAAAGCCAAAAGAATGAGCAGCCATGAAATCAGAGTGGATGGAGAGCAGTTTTAAATGCTCAAAGGGCTAACCTCCAGTGACTCACTGACCGAACCCTTCCTGAAAGTTAGAATGATAGGCACAGAAAGTGACTCATAATGTGAAGATCCTAGTTTAATGTGGCAGAGCTGGCTTCCATTAACCTCTGTGTCATCACAGCAACTTACTGACCATCATCATGCTTGCTTACCGTAACTGCATCTTAACAGTCAGCTCTGTTCCCTAGAGGAAAACATTTCAAAACTAATTTACTGTTCTGCTTTCATGTACACTATAATCTGACAACGGCCCGAATATTTTCAGCAAGATGCTAAAACTGATGTTTGTGTGACAGCTACTGTCTTACTGCGGATTCAAGTAATTTTCTTTTGTATAATTACCCTCAAAATAAAACTAGATATCTATGTCTTTGTTCGGATGGTTGTATGTATGCCATGACTTAAATGTTTCCTTCATGTTTACTTATTTTGAGCATAACCACTAATGTAGCCTGTTTGTGAATGCAAGAGGTGAAGCTTACATTTCTGATCATTTTTTGTGAGTTGTTTGAAAAAGGCAAATAAAGTGATTTGTCTCTATAACGTTTTAAACTGTTTGTGTCATTTTTGCGTGAAAACAGGATTTTTTTGCTACTCAGCTGGCAGACTGACCTTAAACGGGAGAGAGTTTGTTTTTATTTCTTTAGTCATGTTGAATTTTTACAATCTTTTTCTAAATTTTAACTAGGACTACAACAAACTAGATCAAAGTGTCGGCATTTCAAGGTAGCAAAACCACGAGGAAAAGGTTTGAAAAGAAGACGAGTAAAACATACCATACCATACCAATTTATTTATATAGCACTTAAAACAGCAACAAGGCCAACCAAAGTGCTGTACAAAAGAACACAAACATGCACAGCGAACAGGAAAACATAAAATAGAAATACAGATACAAATAGCAGCAGAAGCTAACTAAAATGGCTAACAGAGTAGAGAACAGACCGGACCAAAACAAATCACACCGTGTTAAAGGCAAGCGAATAGAAGTGGGTCTTCAAGCGAGACTTAAAGACTGAGAGTGTGGGAGCCTGCCGGACACTCAGTGGCAACTCATTCCACAGTCGTGGACCTGCAACAGAGAAAGCCCTGTCACCCCTGAGCTTACGACGGGTTTCTGGGACTGAGAGAAGCATCTGGTCTGCTGACCTCAGAGAGCGCGGTGGGACATATGGCTGCAGAAGATCAGTGAGATAGGATGGGGCGGAACTGTTCAGTGATTTAAAAACGTACATGAGAATTTTGAAATGGATCCGAAGGTGAATGGGTAGCCAGTGCAGGGAGGCCAAAACTGGCGTGATGTGCTCTCTGTAGCCTGTACCAGTTAAAAATCGGGCTGCAGCATTTTGGACCAGTTGTAGACGAGCAATGGAGGACTGACTGATTCCAAACAGAAGTGAATTGCAGTAATCAAGCCTAGATGTTATGAAGGCATGGATCACTGTCTCGAGGTTCTTTTTGTTGAGTATAGGCTTCAGCTTAGACAGCCGTCTCAGCTGAAAAAAACAGGATTTGACCATCATGTTTACGTGACTGTTGAGTTTTAAGGACGGGTCCATTATCACCCCCAGATTAGTCACCTTTTGTTTCTCTAGCGGGGCTAGAGAGAAAAGGTCAATGTCATGGTTCATGAGTGAGCCACTGGGATGGAACAGCATGACTTCAGACTTCTTCTCATTGAAGCTTAAGAAGTTTAAAGCCATCCAGTCCCGGATGTCAGCCAGGCAGTCAAGAAGAGGCTGAATGGAGCGTGTGCCTCTGTGCCTCAGGGGGAAGTAAATTTGGCAATCATCGGCATAGAAATGAAAGGGTATGTCGTGTTTGCGGAAGATAGCACCTAGTGGCAGCAGGTATAAAGAAAAGAGAAGGGGACCGAGGATGGACCCCTGCGGTACCCCCCACTGGAGTGCGGTCGATGCCGAACTAAAATCTTTGATATTGACACAGAAGGTTCTGTCAGAGAGGTAGGACCCAAACCATTTAAGGGCTGACCCTGTGATGCCCACCCACTGCTCCAGTCTAGAAATGAGGATATTGTGGTCGATGGTGTCAAAAGCAGATGTAAGGTCCAATAGGACAAGCAGCACAGAATCACCTGCGTCTGTGGATATGAAAATGTCATTAAAAACCTTCAGTAGAGCAGTTTCAGTGCTATGGAGAGATTTGAAGCCAGATTGGAATAACTCAAGGATAGCGTGATCCCCCAAAAACTGTTTCAACTGAGACTCCACAATTTTTTCCAGTAGTTTAGAGGTGAATGGGAGTCTGGAGACAGGCTGGAAGTTGGACATGACTGAGGGGTCAAGGTTAGGTTTTTTCAGGAGGGGCTGGACAGCAGCATGTTTAAAAGTCTTTGGCACCACACCTGAGGATAAACTGCTATTCAGAATAGTGAGGATAAAAGGACCCAGGGTAGGAAAAACTTCCTTTAGTAGTCGAGGGGGGACCACATCAAAGGGGGAACCAGATGGCTTCATGCTGCACATTACCTGCTCCAGAGAAGACAGAGAGATGGGCTCAAAGTGGTCAAACACAGCCACGCACTGAGATGGGATGGACAGATCATGAGCTGGTGGAGAAATGAGTGCCCGGGTGTTTGCCACTTTTTCTAAAAAGAAATGGAGGAAGTTCTCACACAGCTCAGTTGAGGCTTCCAGAGGTGAAGGCTCACTGAGGTGTAGAACTGAGTTCAGGGTGGAGAAAAGAACTCGGGGGTTGTGGGAGTTGGAGACAATTAAATCAGAAAAGAATTTACATTTGGCAGCTTTAACGGTTTTCTGATAGTGACGCCAACTCTCCCTTAACATTTGAAAAGACACCTGGAGCCTGTCCTTCCTCCACTTTCGTTCAGCTTTGCGACACTGCCGCCTAACGGCTCGCGTGACGTCATTCAGCCAGGGCTCTGATTTAAGTTTTGTTTTTCTGGTCTTAAGGGGAGCAACACGGTCCAGAACATCTAAACAGGCAGAGTTGAACTGAGAGGTTAGCTCCTCAGTGGTAAGAGACACCGGGAACTGTTCGATCCTCTCAGAATTAAAACCTTCATTAAAACGAGCAGCAGTGAAATGGTTAATGGAACGCGTACGTGCAGGAACGCACGTCTTAGCAGTATGACAAGGGGGGGGTGAAGTCAAACAATACAGGCATGTGATCTGAAAAAACATTGTCACCGATTTTCAAATTAGAAACAGAGACATCGCGTGTTAAAACGAGTTCCAGCGTGTGACCATGTTCTTGGGTGGGGCCGCTCACCTGCTGAGCTAAGCCAAAAGAGTCCAATAAATCCAGAAAGTCCTTCACTAAAGGCTTCTCCTGACAACACACATGCAAATTAAAGTCACCAATAAGCAAAAAGTGAGTGTATCTCTGTGTGATATGTTGTGGTGGCTTATGAGAACCACATTGGTGTTCAATACAGCTGAAGCAGTTCCTTAGTTCAAAGAGATTTATTCAACAGATTTACAAGTACTCAGAAATTCAAGATACAATTACAATGTATGCATACATGGGCATTTCAAAGACAGACCTGTCGGATGGCAGTCCTCCAGCAAATGCAATGACCTCGGTTCTGACTCTTTCCCTTATTTTACAGAAGACTGCTCCTGATTGGTTTAAACACTCCGTTGTCATGGTTACGGGGCTCTTCAGCCTTGGAGGTCACATACCAAAAGATAAGGTTTTATGGTTTTATGGTCCTTTGTTAACTTTCTCTTGAGCTGAGCATACTTGTTAAACGATTAAATGCTTGTTAAACTATTCAATGCTACTTACTATCTTTACTAAGTTTAGTCAGCTATATTAAGTTCTATCATCTTTACTAGTTATGTTTAAGCAAACTACATTCTCATCTGTTCTGTGTGTG